GGTGAAAACAAGTGAAAGGCTGTATCGGAGACAGGGTAAGGAGGGAGAGTCGAGGAAAGAGCGATGGAGACAAAGACCTGCAAACCCCAGAGAAATAGCAATGTAAACCTTAACGTTTATTGAGAACCTGCAACGAGTAAGATCTTGCACAGTGTGTACTTAAGAATCTTCTATTGGTGGAGGCCTGGGGGGGGGGTTGACTGTAGCTATATTGTTCAAGCCTGTATGAAATAAAGGGAAGTGTTGCAACCAATGTTTAAGAAAGGAGAGGAAGAGGTGGCCAGGATACCCACGTGTAATTTGAGCAGCTGGGAATGTAGGTAGAATGATCAATTGTGCCAGGTCATCCCTGCCTATGTAGTGAGCTTGAGGCCAGTCTGGGCTACATGAGACCCTGTCCAAAGGAGAGAAAGGGAGAGAGAGTAGGAGGGAAAGGAGGGCCTGGGCATGGTGACACAGGCTTTTGAGATCCATGTCCTCAAGGGGCTGAGGCTGGTAGCCTGAAAAGCCAGGCCTGGTGGTGCATGCCTGATAAGTTATTATAGGACTGCTTGAACACACAAATTAAGATGAACCTTAATTCACACACCAAGGACATCATGGACCTTGTCTCAAAAAAGAAAGGAGGAAAGGGAAAATAACAGAAGAAAATATAAGTAAATATTGAATACGCAGCCCTAGCTGGTCTGAAAGCAGGCTGGCCTGGAACTCACAGAGATCCCCCTGCCTCTGCCTCCCCAGGGCTGGGATTACAGGTGTGCGCCACCACCACCCACTCCCAAGGCTTTTTCTGATAATACCTCCTTTAACCTAGTCTGGCCTTGATCCCCCCTCCCCCCAAGCTGCCTGATTCCTTCTTCCAAGTGTTCAGATAACATTCACAATCTCTACAGCTTATCTCTCCATCACAGGTCCCAGCTCAGATGTTAGAGATAGGCTCAGTAGAGTGCTCTAGGTAGAACCTGGGCAATGGGCCCGGCATTGGTGGCTCAATCCTTTAATCCCAGCACTCGGGAGGCAGAGACAGGCGGATCTCTGTGAGTTCGAGACCAGCCTGGTCTACAGGAGCTAGTTCCAGGACAGCCTCCAAAGCCACAGAGAAACCCTGTCTTGAACCCCCCCCCCAAAAAAAAAAAGAACCTGGGCAATGGCATGCCCAGGGTTTCAGAGGAGAGGAATATCCTCATGGTTGGGCAATTTCCGTAACTTCTCCAAGCCTAAATTTCTCTTTCTGCAAAATGTGAGTTTTTCCGTCAAACACATTTCACAGAGGTGTGAAGACAAAACTAGTTAATACATGGGACATACTGGCATAAGTACAGCATGGAGATACAAAAGGAGAACACAGCATCCTTGGCAAATGCCAGCTACAAGCTAGAGATGGTGCATGGGACATAACATAATTTTAAGAGCAAGAGTCAAGGGCCGGAGAGATGGCTCAGAGGTTAAGAGCACTGGCCACTCTTCCAGCGGTCCTAAGTTCAATTCCCAGCCTACATGGTGGCTCACAACTGTCTCTAGCGGGATCTGATGCCCTCTTCTGGCCTAAACATAAAGTAAATAAATAAAGTCTAAAAAGAAAGAAAAAGGAACAAGAGTCAGAGTCTGGATGGTGGCACATGACTTTAATCCCGACACGTGGGCAGAGGCAGGCAGATCTCTGTAAGTTCTAGACCAACTTGGTCTATGCAGCCAGTTCCAGGGCAGCCAGGGCTGCATACTGAGTGCTTGTCCAGAGGACAGTGAAAGTAAAAGAGAACATTAAAGGAGAGAATGAAGAAGAGTCCTGGGTTGTCACCACATTGCAGGGAGAGGAAGACATGGGGAAAAAAGTGGCTCAGGCATAAAGAGAAGGACTCAGAGGCAACTCTGAGACAGCTTGGAGTTGACATCCATGAGGTACCAACCGGGTTCTGTCCCCAGAACTTCAAGTAAAATAAATATATATGTATAATGAATAAAAAAAAGTAAGGCCAAGCACAGTGACTTATGCCTAAAATCTCAGTGCTGAGAGGTAAAAGTGGGAGAATCAGAAGTTCAAGGTAACACAATGTTTAAGGCTAGCCTGGCCTACATGAGAGTCATTTCTTATAGTAGCACCTGCTTTTAAGGAGACTTCAGCAGGATTTCCAGTTCAAGGCCAGCCTAGACTACAAAGCCAGTTCCAGGCCAAACCGGCCAACTTAGTAAAACCCTGTCTCCATTTTTTTTTTTTTTAAAGATGCTAGGATGTAGAGATTTTGGTAGCATCCGTGAGACCCTGTGTTCAGTCAAAAGTGCCAGAAGAAAAGAAAAGCTGGGGCCGGGCGTTGGTGGTGCACTCCTCTAATCCCAGCACTCAGGAGGCAGAGGCAGGTGGATCTCTGTGAGTTCGAGACCAGCCTGGTCTACAAGAGCTAGTTCCAGGATAGGCTCCAAAGCCACAGAGAAACCCTGTCTCAGAAGAAAAAAAAAGAAGAAAGAAAGAAAGAAAGAAAGAGAAAAAAAAAAAGCTGGGGATGCAGCTCAGCTAGGAGGTCTCTCGATGTCCATCTGAGAGGCAGGAGTGTGGGGTCTGAGAAGATCCTGGGTGAGCAGGTGCAGAGCTTCCTTTGTTGTTCTTCAGGGCTAGCTGTGGGCTTGGGCCTGGGAGCGCTGGCTGAGGTGACCAAGAAGTCTCTGCCAGGAGGAAGACTGCAGCACGGTGAGTAAGCTAACATCACCTGGTTCATCCACTTCCTGGCCTCCAGGGCTCAGGTTGTGGTAGAGTCTTGCTTACTGGTGATGGGATTAGGGTTAGGGCATGGGGCAGGTGTGGCTCAGTAGTAAATTGTTTATCCAGCACACAGAAGTCACACACACTTGACTGGTTCCCACATACCAAATGGATCACAACTGCCTGTAACTCCAGCTCCAGGGAATCCAGTGCCCACTCTGACTGCTCTAGAGTTCAGCACACACATGGCATGTGCACACACATACACACACACAATAAAAAATAATTTTTTGGAGGGGGCATTTCAGGACAGGGTTTCTCTGTAGCCCTGGCGGTCCTGAAACTCTCCATAGACCAGGCTGGCCTCGAAAACACAGAAATCCATCTGCCTCTGCCTCCGAGTGTTCGGATTAAAGGCCTGCACCACCATACCTGGCTAGCAAAATGAATCTTTAAAAACATCAAGATAGTCTAGACTGCCAGGTGTCAGTGGCTCACGCCTTTAATCCCAGCACTCGGGAGTCTACAGAGTGACTGCCAGGATAGGCTCCAAAGCTATACAGAGAAACCCTGTCTCAAAAAAAAAAAAAAAAAAAAAAAAAAAAAAAAAGGAAAGATATTCTAGACTAAAATGAATTCAAGACTAGCCGGGTTGCAAAGCAAGTTCAAAGAAGCCTGGGCAACTTAACTTAGTGAAACCCCATTTAGAAATAAAATGTTTGTTATTTTTATTTTTTTTATTTGTTTGTTATTTTCAAGATCAGGTTTCCTGGCTGCCCTGGAACTCACTGTGTAGACCAGGCTGGCCTCAAAGTCACAGAGATCCCCCTATCTCTGCCTACTAGAGCTGGGTTTAAAGGTGTGCACAACTATGTCTGGCTTGTGGAGAAATGTTTTGCCTAGCGTTTTTTTTTTGTTGTTGTTGTTTGTTTTTGGAGACAGGGTTTCTCTGTGTAGCTTTGGAGCCTATCCTGGCACTCGCTCTGGAGACCAGGCTGGCCTTGAACTCCCAGAGATCTGCCTGCCTCTGCCTCCCGAGGGCTGGGATTAAAGGTGTGCGCCACCAAAGCCTAGCTGAACTGGCTGTCTTAAGAACTTACTATATAGACCAAACTATATAGAACTCTGCCTCCAGAGTTCTAAGATCAAAGACATGTTTTTGAACCTTGGATCCTCTTGCCTAGGCTGCTTAAGTGCTGTGCTTAGGTTATCCTATGTGACCACGGTGGGCATATCTGACTTCTGTGGTTGACTTTATGACTTTACCACATGCCCACGTGGTTAAGTGTGGTAACTGTGTTCAGTCACTGTGTGTAGTCACTCTGTCTCTCTCCCTTGAGTTTACACCTGGAGGAGGGACTGCATTGCACATGGACATGTCTTCTAGAAACTGCCTGTTTGTCAGAGGGCTACGCTAGCACACTGCCATCAGGCGCGTCTGAGTTCAAGCTGTGGCTCACCTTTGCCAGGACTGATATTGGCACCTTTTTTTTTTTTGGTTTTTCGAGACAGGGTTTCTCTGTGTAGCTTTGGAGCCTGTCCTGGAACTCACTCTGTAGACCATGCTGGCCTCGAACTCACAGAACTCACGCCTGCCTCTGCCTCCCGAGTGCTGGGATTAAAGGCGTGCATCACCAACGCCTGGCTGATATTGGCACTTTTATATTTAACCCTCTAGTGGTTGAGCATAGGTGGTATACTGATCAATAGATTCTGAGTTGTTTGTTGTTATTTTTTCTTTTCCCTTGAGACAGGGTCCTCTGTAGCCCAGGCTGGCCTTGAATTTACAGAGATCCTTCCCTTCCTCTGGCCTCTTGATTACTGGGATTGCAGGCGTGGATCCCCATGCCCAGCTCCCCGCCCCCCCCCCATTTCTTGTCTGTAATATTAGCACTCAGGAAACAGAAACAGGAGGGTTTTATGAATTCAAGGTTATCCTGGGCTACATTGTAAATTTTTTAAAAAAGTTAAACGGGGTGGTGGTGGTGCACACCTTTAATCTCAGCGCTCAGGAGGCAGAGGCAGGCGGATCTCTGTGAGGTCGAGGCCAGCCTGGTCTACAAGAGCTGGTTCCAGGACAGCCTCCAAAGCTACACAGAGAAACCCTGTCTCAAAAAAAACAAAAACAAACAAACAAAAAAGTTAAGATGGAAATGACATACACACCTTTAATCCCAGCCAATCTCTGTGAGTTCCAGGCCAGCCTGGTCTACAAGGCTGTTACACAGAGAAACCAAAAAATAAACAAACAAAAAGAGAGAGATAGAGAGAGAGAGAGAAAGGAAAAGAAAAGAAAGGTTATTTTTGTGCATGTGATACTGACGCTTGCTTCTCTCCACAGAGGGCAGCAGCTCTGGACTGGGCTCCAGCCCATTCCTTTCCGAGGCCAATGCTGAGAGGATCGTTCAGACCTTATGTACAGTCCGGGGGGCTGCCCTCAAGATCGGCCAGATGCTCAGCATCCAGGGTATACAGCATGCCCCTCAGGCCCTGACCTATGACCTCACTCCCACCCCACCCAGCAGCCAGGCCTGATTTCAGGGGCTCACGGGGAGCCCCTCTTCATCTCCCTCACCTTTCCCCTCCTCCCGCTGTCTCCCAAGACAACAGCTTCATCAGCCCCCAGCTGCAGCGGATCTTTGAGAGAGTCCGCCAGAGTGCCGACTTCATGCCCCGCTGGCAGATGCTGGTGAGTGCCCAGTCTGGGTGAAGGGTGACTCGGCGGCCCCTGTCCGGAGTCTACAAAGCACTTAGTTTATACTGCATAAAGCTTTTTAAACCTGTCCCTGCCACTCCACGAGTGACATACCAGGTGGTGGTTGCCGTGGTTAATGAAAGGAGATCGTACTAGGACATGGTGGCACACACCTGTAATCCCAGCACTTGGAGACGGAAGCAGGAGAATCAGGAGTTCAAGGTCATCCAGAGCTACGTAGAGAATCCAAGGCTAGCCCGGGCTACTTAGACCCCCATCTCAAACAAACAAATTGAAGGAGACTTTATCCATAGATAGTGTAACAGCTGGTACTGAGATGTTCTATAACTGTATGAGGGCATAAGCTCCAGCCACCCACCTGCCTCCTGAGTTGCTGCTGCTTGTCACGTGACCCAGGTAGTCATTGTGGCTCTCTGAGCCACTCTAGACATGTCAGAACCAAAGGAAGCCCTTCTTCTTTTTTTTTTTTTCTTTTCAGATTTTTTTTTTTTATTTGAATCAGAAACAAGATTGTTTTACATGACGATCCCAGTTGCCTTCTCCCTCCTGTCCTCCCCTACCAACCCCCCAAACTAAAACCCTACCTGTCACACACCCTTTCTTCTGTTCTTCCCCTGACTCAACCTTTCTGCTCCCTCATGGCCTCTGCATCCTTCCTCTTCTCCCCTTCTCATTCTCGTAGCTCCCTCCCCCCTCCTCCCGTGCTCTCAATTTGCTCAGGGGATCTTGACCCTTTCGCTGTCTCCAGGGGATCAAGTGTGTCTCTCTTAGGGTCCTCCTTGTTTAGTAGCTTCTCTGGCAGTGTGGATTGTAGGCTGGTAATGTGTTCACTCTATGTCTAAAATCCACATATGAGTGAGTACATACCATGTTTGTCTTTTTGTGACTGGGTTACCTCACTCAGGATGGTTTCCTCTAGGTCCATCCGTTTTCCTGCAAATTTCAAGATTCTATTGTTTTTTTTCCACTGAGTAGTACTCCATTGTGTAAATGTAACACATTTTTCCCTATCCACTCTTCAGTTGAGGGGCATCTAGGCTGCTTCCAGTTTCTGGCTGTTACAAATGGTGGGAAAGCCCTTCATCCCGTCACTTTATGACTCAAGGATATGGGAATATAATGTGCAATGTTGTCAGTCTTCATTACAATCTCCTCGGGCAGTGGGGCGGACACCTTTAATTCCAGCGCTCTGAAGACAGAGGCAGGTGACAGAACTCTGTGAGTTCAGGGCTAGAGAGTTGAACTGGCCTATAGAGAGTTCCAGGCCGGTCAGGACTTCACAGTGAGACCCTGCCTCAGAAAATCAAAAACAACAATGCTGGTATTCCTCCCATGGAACTCCTCTGAGTCTTAGGAGTTGCTTCTCACTTCAGACACGAAATAAATCATTGCCACTGTCTGTCTGTCACCTGGACAAGAGACTTCTCCATGGGCCTTAGTTTTCACATCTGTAGGGTGATGCGTCAGCTGAGGGTGAGGCCCAGGGTGGCTAACACAAGCGCTCGGTACAGGGAATGAGCTCAGCTGTCTGGAACCATGGATGGTGACTGTTATGCTTGCTCCCTCCAGAGAGTTCTAGAAGAGGAGCTGGGCAAGGACTGGCAGGACAAGGTGGCCTCTCTTGAGGAAGTGCCCTTTGCTGCTGCCTCCATTGGGCAGGTACACAAAGAAATGCTAAAAGATGGGACTGAGGTAGCTGTGAAGATCCAGGTGAGCAGGGAGGCTGGGCAGGGCTGGGGTGGGGTGGGGTGGTGGGCACCCTTGCTGTCCCCAAGGCATGAGTGACTCCCAACCCCTCCTCCCTCCTGACAGTACCCAAGTGTTGCCCAGAGCATCCAGAGTGACGTGCAGAACCTGCTGGGCCTGCTCAAGATGAGTGTGGGCCTGCCAGAGGGTGAGGTGCCCACCGAGGGAGGGATTCCTAAAGACAGGAAGAGGGGGCTAGCCCGGGACAACATCGTGAGTTGTACATACATTGCACGGTGACAGGAGGACGCCAAGCAGGAAGGTTCAGTGAGAATGAGTAAATGCCATGTAGCTACAAAGAAACAAGCCCAGATCAGATGTAGAGGTGGACAGACAGACAGACAGACAGACAGACAGACAGACAGACAGACAGACAGACAGACAGAGGGGAACTGGGGGTGGGCGTGTTTGTGTTGAGTCAAATGAGAGATCACCCGTAGAAGATGGAGCAAGATATGTTTGTTGGGGGAAAAAAAACAAACAAAAATATGTGTTTGTTGGGAAGAAAGGAAACAGAGAGATGTAGAAAGGCCTAGGAGTGAAATGAGGCAGAGGGTAATGTGAGCAAAAGAACATGGCTGGGGACGCAGCTCAGTGGAGTGTTTGTCCAGCGCGCACAAAGCCCAGGGCTGAGCTCTGATACCAAATGGGGTGATGTAGGACCCCCACACTCAGGAGGAGACGGGGGGAGGAGCAGAGAAGTTCAGGGTCATCCTTGGCTCAACAGCAACGGGAAAGAGCTGCTCCAGGGACAGCCAAACCCAGGAGACAGACTTGCACAGAGACTACAGCTGTGGGAAAGACAGAGGAAAGGTAAATCCAAGACAGGGTAGACAGCCTGGGTCTAATCTTAGCACAGGGGATCTGAGGCAGGAGGATTGCTAAAAGTCAGGGGTCAGGCCTGGACTGTATAGACAGACCCCGTCACACGTGCAAAGGCAAGCGGAGCAGCATGTCTGTAGTCCCAGTATTTGGGAGGTGGAAGCAGGAGCAGCAGTTCAGAGTCGGCCATGGCTGTATATTGAGTTGGAGGCCAGCCTGGCCACATGAGAGCCTGTCTTTAAAAATAATAATAATAATAGAGAAGGAATGGAAAGGGGTTGGGGTAAAGGTCTGGAACAGAGTTGCACGGGACAGTTAGAGCCACAGAAAGAGAACTGTACGAGGGACCAGAGAAGACAGGAGCGCAATGGAGCACGAGGGTTCTGGCTGCAGGGGACAGGCAGCCACCAACCATCCTCAGCTGCCACCCCTCCGCTCCCCACCCCCCAGGGTTGTTTGCTGAGCAGAGCCTGCAGTCCTTGCAGCAGGAGCTGGCATGGGAGTGTGACTACCAAAGAGAGGCTGCTTGTGCCCAGACCTTCAGGTAAGCAGACACTCTGCGGGCTCCTGGGAGACTCCTCCTGCCTGGGCTAGGCTGGGATGGGTGTGGTACTCTCTCTCCTCTGGTGGTCTTCATCTTCATATGGCCCTGCAGACTCCTTTTTTCTTTCTTTGGTTCTTTTATCTGTCCGTCTATTCCGTATTCTTGCATGTACCCTGGCTGCCTATGCATGGCCCCCAGAGTGCCATGTCTGCTATGGTCTCACAGAGGTGTTCAATTGCACCATGAGATGAGGATAGGCCTGCTAATCCTGAGAGAGGGAAAGCATTCTGTAGCATCAGGACAGGAGGACACCAGCTCCAGACTGCTCCTTCTACACACTAGGCAGAACAACAGTGTTAACATCTGGGAAGCCACGGTCGGTCTCCCTCTGTAGTTAGTTCCTGCTGGCCTGGACCTTGGCCTTACAGAGCTCCACCTTTGTCCCCCAAATACTGAGACTAAAGGCATGCGCCACAAGGCCAGCTCAACCTTATTTTATTTTATTTTATTTTTTTAAAGATTTTATTTATTATGTATACAGTCTTCTGCCCGCATGCCAGCAGAGGGCACCAGATCTCATTCAAGGTGGTTGTGAGCCACCATGTGGTTGCCGGGAATTGAACTCAGGACCTCTGGAAGAGCAATCAGTGCTCTTAACCTCTGAGCCATCTCTCCAGCCCCCCAGCTCAACCTTATTTATGTTTAAATTATGTTTTAAACCAGGCATGATGACGCACACCTTTAATCTTACTACTTGGCAGTCAGTGGCAGGTGGATTTCTGTAAATTCAAGGCCAGCCTCATCTACATAGGGAGTTCCAGACCAGCCAGGGCTACATAATGAGACCCTGTTTTAAAACAACAAAAGACTCCCCAAGTTTTTTTTTTAGTTTGTTTTTTGTGTGGATTTTTCCTTTTTGCCTGCATATATGTCTGTGTACCATGTGCATGCAGTACCCACAGAGACCAGGCCTGGTTGGATCTCCTGGAACTGGAATTATAGATGGCTGTGAACCACCACATGGGTCTGGGAACCAAATCTGGGTCCTCTGAAAGAGCAGCCAGTGCTTCTAACCAGAGCCGTCTCTTGCTGAACCTAAAACTCTCTGATTTGACTAGACTGGCTGGCGGGCAGACCCCTGGGGTCCTTCTGTGTCTGTCTCCTTGGTGCTGGGATTACAGGCACAGGCTGCCATTGGTGACAGTTTTCCATGGTCCTCCTGCTATGTGGCAAGCAGCTTACCCAGTGACCCATGCCCTCAGTTCCTGAAAGAGCCCCATAATCACATACCCAGCAGCCCTACCATCGGCCTCCTTGATACATTCTATATTGTGGTATACCACCAGAATTTTCTAGAATGCTCAGAGCACCAACGTGTACAGATCCCAACCTAGAAACCCAAATCCTTGAAATCAGTTCAGCAAGGCGGATAAATAACTTATGTTGGGTTTTCTTTTTGTTTCTGAGATAGGATCTCACTGTGTATCCCTGGCTGGCCTTGAACTTGCTCCAGTCATTCTGACTCTACCTCCCAAGTGCTGGATTACAGGGGTGCCCCATACCTGGCTTTTGTGGTGTTTTCAGTATTACCAGTTGAATCTTTTAATTATTTTCCATGAGTGTGAGACTTGGGGTTCCACTGGAGCTGGAATTACAGGCAGTTGTGAGCCACCTAATCCGAATACTGGGAACAGAACTTGAGTCCTGGAAGAACAGCAAACGTGTTCCCAACTGCTGAGCCATCTCTCTAGCCAGCCCCCCCTCCCCAATTATTTGAGACAGGGTCTCAATCAATATGCAGCCTGAGCTGGTCTCTGACTCACTCTGTGGCTGTGCTGGCTTTGGGTCCACCTATTTCCCACTGTAAGTATGTGCCACCACATCCGGGGCTCAGTGGCAGACTCTTTTCTGACGGAAATGAAGAGACTACAGCTGTACAGCACAGTGTGGCCCTATCTTGGAATTCTGGTCATATGCAACAGTTAAGAACAACCCAAGTCTGAGCATGTAGCTCAGTTGGTGTTTGCGTGGCACACATCGTGCTCTGGCTTCGGCCCCCATCACCACATAAGCCAGGTGTGGTGGCTCATGCCTTTAATCCTGGCACTCAGGAAGTGGAGCCTGGAAGGTGAGAAGTTCAAGGTCATTCTCTGCAGCGTAACCGCTTCTGGGGCAGCCTGGGCTACATGAGACAGCATCTCAAAAAGCAAAACAGCAAAAAACAAACAAACAAACAAAAGCAAAAAGCAAGAGACACCTTGAGAGGAACCTCTACACTCTAGCTCACGAGTCTGCTATGACTCCCAGTGTGCCAAGCTCAGCAGACACAGGGAGGAGACAGTCCAGACAGCAGTCATTCAAAACGTGTCCTGGACCCTTGTGAATATGGGATTCAGTCTCAGGTTAGCCCTTCCCAGGCTGTGTGGCCTGGTTCTGTGCAGTGGCCTCGGGAGAGCATTCTCTTAGGGGAGGTGTGCCGGTTAAATGTTTAGGACCTGCCTGGCTCTTGAGAAGTAGAGCCAGGATCAGAGACAGTATAAACTAGGACTAAATGCCAGCCCAAAGCATGACCCTGAGGAGCAGAGTGACACTAGGTGACAGACCAGAGCATCCTCATGGAGGATCTGAGGACATTTCCCCAGGATCCCCCAAAGCCTTCCTCATACCTCTGGTGCCTGCCCGTCTGCCTGTTCCCAACAAACCCATAGGTCCCCACTCATCTTCTTCTCCCCCTGGTCTGCCCCGACACATGTCCCTCAGTTTATCACCCACCCATCCCCGACAGCACTGGCCAGTACCAAAGAAGTACTGTTGTCATTTTGGGGGAGGTGGTGTGTGTACCTGGAAGGCATCTGGAGGCCAGAGAACAGCCCTAGTTAGGTTCCTTCTGATTTTTGAGACAGAACCTCTGTCTGGCCCAGAACTTGACATGTAGGCTAGACTGGCTGGCCATTGAGCCCCAGGAATCCACCTGTAGCTGCTTCCCGGTGTCCAGGATTACATTTCCGTGCCGCACCCAACATTCCCCCCTTGGGTTCCGGTGATGAAACTTGGGTCCTCATGCCTATGTGATTAGCATTTTACTGGAGGAGCTATCTCCTCGGCCCTTTTTTGTTTGTTTTGGGGCTGGGGTGCCATGTAACCCAGACTAACCTCAAACTCCCTATGTAGTGAGGATACCTTTGAACTCCACCTCTCCATGCTAGGATTGTAAGTGTGTACACCACACCCAGGTCTCGATGGCAGACTATTCTATGACAGGGAACGTTGCTGGGCCTTGGTGGCGCACGCCTTTAATCCCAGCACTTGGGAGGCAGAGACAGGCAGATCTCTGTGAGTTCGAGACCAGCCCGGTCTACAAGAGCTAGTTACAGGACAGGCTCCAAAGTTATACAGAGAAACCCAGTCTTGAAAGACCAAAATAAATAAATAAATGAATAATAAAAAGATCCTAACCATGAACCTGCTGAAACAGCTAGGTACTCCTGGGAGGGAGGGAAGTGTATGTGTACCATGAATGTGCTTTATTTTTGTTTTGTTTTGTTTTGTTTTGTTTTTGAGACAGGGTTTCTCTGTGTAGCTTTGGAGGCTGTCCTGGCACTCACTCTGGAGACCAGGCTGGCCTCGAACTCACAGAGATCCTCCTGCCTCTGCCTCCCGAGTGCTGGGATTAAAGGCGTGCGCCACCACAGCTGGGTCAGGAAAGGATTCTTCAATTTATTTACCACTGTTCAGAGTACAACACCCTTCTGCCCCTGCAGGCGACACTTTCCTAGACACACCTAGTGCTTGCTTGAAACCCAATTATTTCCAACTCTGCATAAACTGTTTTTATTTTTTTCCCCTGTATATACATATGAAGAAGTCAGACTTAGATATTAGGGGTAGCGTTTTCTGCTACAACACGCTGTTATGTCCCTAGGAAGATTCCTACTCCAGGCTTTTGCCCACAACTTGAATACCTTTCACCTTTGTTCAGACTGTCATCCTCCTGCCTCAGCCTTCTGAATGCCGGCATTAGAGGCCCATGCCACTTTCCACGGCGCCTCACTCATCTTAAGCCAGCATTTGTCGCGTACTGTGGGTGTCACTTGTGGTAAAACTGGCACAGATTTCTCTTCATCACAGTGTCACAGATAGATTTGTTCTTCATGGACTTTGGATTTTTTTTTTCTCCATTGAACCTGAGCATTTTACATTTTTCCTCAGA